CCCCACAATTCCCCGGGGAGAGTCAAAGACGCATGCTTCAATAGATAACTTCTGCCCGTGGAGAGAAGCCGCATGTCCTGAGTCTCCACTCCAGAGACTAAAGAATACAGGGTCCAAGTGAAACTCCGCAGGTCCTGGTTACCAAGAATCATCGCAACTCCAGCTGACCAGGCTCAGTGTATTTACAGAAAACTTCATGAACCATAACAACTCCTACGCATAGAGCGTAACTATTTTTTTCAAAATTGCCTAACAAACTGGCCTGGAGGAGGACATCCAAATCTCCTGAGGGTAAAAAATCCCTGAGCGCTAATTACTGCTTACAGCACTCAGTGTGCTTGACAGTCTAATTTAGACATTAAGCTGGGTTAGCTTAGAGAAAACCTAAGGAATTCTAGAACCCAGCCATTGGCCTTGTCATTAAAATGTACACTAATCAAGGAGCCTGGGTGGCTCAGTCAGTTAAGCATCTGACTTCGGTTCAGGTCATGATCTCATGGTTCATGAGTTCGAGCCCCATGTCAGGCTCTGTGCAGACAGCTTGGAGCCTGGAGCCTGCTTTGGGTTCTGTGTCTCCCTCTCTCACTGCCCTCCCCTGCTTGCTCGCTCTCTCTCTCTCTCTCAAAAATAAACATTAAAAATTTAAAAAAAAATTTTTATGTATACTGATCAGATTTACAGTTCTTTGTATAACAGGGTATGGATTCTGCCTCTTTTGACGGTGGAATCTTCCACTGTGACTACCTTTGAGCCACTTCAAGGACATAAGCCAGTACATTTAAGTACCTCAACTCTAACTAGAAGTATGTATTTCATGAATTATTCAAATACAATAATTTTTCATAGTTTTTTCCTTTGAATCATCCACACCACTGAACACTTACTGAACATTTACTATATACCAAGTGCTTTGTTTCTTCAAGACTGTTGCTCTCATTTAATCCTCAGCTCAACTTCAGTGGGAACATTCTTTTTTTTTTTTTTTTTTTTTTTTTTTTTTTTTTTTTTTTTTTTTTTTTTTTAAGTTTTATTTATTTATTTTGAGAGAGAGAGCAAGAGCAGGGGAGAGGCAGAGAGAGAGAGAGGGAGAATCCCAAGCAGGCTCCATACCGTCAACACAGAGCCTGACATGGGGCTCAAACCCACGAACCGTGAGATCATGACCTGAGCCAAAATCAAGAATCGGACACTTAACTGACTGAGCCACTCAGGCAACCCCGCCCTTTCTCTTAAGTTTTAATTTTATTTGAGAGAAAGTATGTGAGCATAAGTGGGGTAGGGGCAGAGGGAGAGAAAGAGAGAATCCCAAGCAGGGCTCCATCCCATGAACCATGAGATCATGACCTGTGCCAAAATCAAGAGTCAGACGTTCAACCGACTGAGCCACCCAGGCACCTGGGAACATTCTTTTGTTATCCCTATTTTAAAGATGAGGAGAAAGGTTTGAAGAAGTCCTCTAAGGACAAAGGTTATTGTCTATCTTGTTCTCCACCATATTTCCAGCACCTCAAACTTTACCTGGCACATAGATGCACTCTTTTATTTTTTGAATGAATGAATGAACCAACGAACAAATAAACTAAAGTTCCCAAGACCAAGTAAGTGGATGGTAAGTGGCAGAACTGGAATATTCCTACAAGTCTGTCTGACTCCAGAACCCAAAATACCACAGACCGGATAGCTTCTAAACAATGGAAACGTATTTCTCACAGATCTGGAGGCTGGAAGCTCAAGATAGAATACCAGCAAGGTCAGGTTCTGGTGAGGACGTGCTTTGTGGTTTACAGATGGTGCCTTTGTACCACGTCCTCGCTTGGTGGAAGGGGCGAGGGAGCTCTTTGGGGCTTCATTCTAAGAAATTAATCTCATTCGTGAGAGCTCGATCTTCATGACTCAATCACCTCCCAAAGGCCCTCCAATACCATCACATCAGGCATCAGGGTTTCAACACATGAATTCTGGGAGGATACAAACATCCAGCCTAAAGCAACCATGATGCAAAAACTACAAAGTTTGTTTAAAGGGTAACTTTTCAAAAAAAATTTTTAATGTTTTTTGTTGTTGTTGTTTTGTTTGTTTTGAGAGAGAGAGAGACATAGCACGAGCTGGGAAGGGTCAGAGAGAGAGGGAGACCCAGAATCCGAAGCAGGCTCCAAGCTCCAAGCTTGTCAGCACAGAGCCCGACATGGGGCTCGAACCCACAGACTGCGAGATCATGACCTGAGCCGAAGTCAGACACCCAACCAACTGAGCCACCCAGGCGCCCCTAAAGGATAACTCTTCATTTTGATACAATTTCAAACTTGTAGAAAAGTTTAAAGAATAGTACAAGAAACGCTCATATACAATTTACCCATATTCACTAATTGTCTATGTTGTACCCCAATACGAACCTTTTAAAAACTCAGTGAAGGGGGCTCTTGGGTGGCTCAGTCGGTTAAGCGTCAGACTTCAGCTCAGGTCACGATCTCACGGTTTGTGGGTTCAAGCCCCACATCGACTCTGCGCTGACAATGCAGAGCCCGCTTGGGATTCTCTGCCTCCCTCTCTCTCTGCCCCTCCCCACTTGCACTCTATCTCAAAATAAATAAATAAACTTAAACAAAAACAAAATTAAAAACCTCAATGGGTTGGGCAAATCCGCATATGTCTGATGTTTGTTCCAGTGTGCACAGAGCCTACCTCATCTTATGCCAAACCCCTTTCTCCTATCCCTTCCTTCCTATCCCTCCCGGCCCCAGTCTCTATCCCCTAGTCCTCGGGGTGTCCTCACGACCCTAGCTCCAATCTTGTCAACAATCCCCAGCCTCTCTCCAGATCCCACACCCGCAGCACTGCCCCAAACGCCCTGCTCCCTTCCTGCTCCTCTGTCCTAAGCCTGCAGGCCTGGTAACACAGCGGTTAGCACAGAGCAAAGAGCACACTGCAAAAAGGAAGCAGCATTCACAGGGATCCACTTGATGAATTATCAAGAATGGTAAAATAAATAAGAGGTTGTGTTGAAACAAAATCCCTGCAATACTAAAAACAGAAAAACAGAAAAAAAGACACCAAATAAGTAAAATTTACTTACAAATAAGTAAAAATACTTAAATAGAATTCCATGTCCAACTATGCGAAACAGCACAAATGCAATGATAGATGCATAGATATATACATACACACACGCTTTTGATGCAATCTACTTCAAGAGAATATAACCTAGAATAATTCCAAATATAGGAAGAGCTTTTATGATATACAGTTGTGGTATTTTTTATAATAGAGAAATTTTGGGGTGCCTGGGTGGCTCAGTTGGTTAAGTGTCCAAGTCTTGATTTCAGCACAGGTCAGGATCTCACAGTTCACTACATCAAGCCCCACATTGGGATTCTCCCTCTCTCCCCCTCCTCTCTCTGCCCCTCCCCCTTCTTGTGCACTCTCTTTCTCTCCCTCTCTCTCTCTTTCTCTCTCTCTCTCTCTCTCTCTATATATATATATAAGTTAAATGAATAAACTTTAAAAACATATAAATAAACAAACTCATTTTCAAAATTTCAAAATTTCAGAATTCTGTTAAAGAGAAAGTCTCACTTAGGTAACATTATCTTTATCATCTCTTGAACCTAATACCCCTTTTAATACTCCTTTTAAATAAAGAAAAAACAAGTCCCAGTCTCCTTCCATGAACAACAGTCTCTAGAGAGGAAATAATATATTGTTATATTTGTTGAGAAGCAGGAGAATCTTACTGGTTATAGGGGGTTCTGGAGTAAACCAGCCAGGGTGTATACCTGCTGCTACTTACTAACTGTGTAACCGATTACTTCACCTCTGTGCCTCAGTTTCCTCATCTGTAAAATGAGGATGGTAACTGTACTTCATACAGGGTGGTGATGTAAGGATTTTTTTTTTTTAATTTTTTTATGTTTATTTTTGAGAGAGAGAGAGAGAGATACAGAGAGACAGAGCATGAGCGGGGGAGGGGTAGAGGGAGAGGGAGACACAGAATCTGAAGCAGGCTCCAGGCTCTGAGCTGTCAGGACAGAGCCTGACACAGGGCTTTAACCCACGAACAGTGAGACCATGACCTGAGCCAGAGTCGGACGTTTAACCGACTGAGCCACCCAGGCCGCTCAGGACTTTTTCTTTATAAAGATTTTTTTTTTTTGTAACTTTTTATTTGAGAAAGACAGAAACAGCATGAGTGGAGGAGGGGCAGAGAGAGAAGGAGAGAGATAATCCTAAGCAAGTTCCAAGCTGCCAGCACAGAGCCCCATGCAAGGCTCAAACCCCCAAAACTGTGAGATCCTGACCTTAGCCTAAACCAAGAATTACTCAACCAAATGAGCCACCCAGGTGCTCCAAGATTTTAAGTAATCTCTACACCCAACATGGGGCTCAAGCCCACAACCCCGAGATCAAGTGTCACACACTCTACCAACTGAGCCAGCCAGGCGCCCTTGGCGTAAGGATTAAATGAACTAATTTATACACATTCCTCTGAATGCTAATATACAATAAACAGCAATAAGTGTTATAGGGTGTCTGTGTTCATTTTTTATCTTGGGAAACTTCTACCTGTGACAGTGGTTTTCCATTTATGGTGATAACAAAAGTTGCCTTCTTAAATAAATTTAATACAGGCTTAAAAAAAAAAAAAAAAAAAAAAAAAAAAAAAAAAGGTGAATCCTGTTCAGATAACTGAGCCTCAGTACAAGGTCAACTCACCAGGGCTGGGCCACACCACGCAGAAATGAACGCTTTTTCTATCCTCTGAATACTGGGTTTTTCTGACATGGGGACCCATCACTTTTTAATTATCACCCAAGATTCCTCTGTACTCATGCCCCCGGCAAGATGAGCTCACTCAACACTTGTGAACTCCACTCATGCACTTCCTTTCTTACAACCTGTCCTTCCAGCCCCAGTTTCCAATCCCCAGCAACAACATGGGAGCAGAGTGTTCTCGCCACCCACTGGTACCCAGTGAGAGGCACTTGGGGCAGGAGCCAACTGACCTTCAGGGCTTTGAAGATGACCCCCGGGTGCCGGGGAGAACGGGTAGTGTTGTTCTCTAGCTGCTGCTCCAGAGCACGCCGGAGCCCAGAGAAGTCCGTGGGAGGGTTGTAAGTCCTCGTTCCCTTGTAGTGAATGGAACTGAAGGCTTCAGGGAAGCGGCCCAGCTTCCGGAACCGGTCCTGGATGAGCTTTTCTGGCACCTCGGAGGGGTGATCTGGATAAGGAAACAGGTACATAAACAGTGACCCTTCTTTTAAAAAGAAAATCTGTCTTTCACTATAAAAGTAGTATACAGTCTGACTCTATATAAAGTACACCTACAGGCAGAACTCATTTACGCTGTTAGACTTCAGGTTAGCCTTGCCTAGAAGGGAGCATGAGCAGGGCTTCCCCATGAAGTGGGTGCTGGCATGTCATGGTCTGGTATTTTCACAGGTACATCCAGACTGTGAAACTCATCGTGTTATATACTTTTGATGTGCACTTTTCTGTATGTACATTATACTTCAATGGAAGGTCTTTTTCTTTTTAATCTGCTCATTGTAAAAAAATCCAAACATGTCAAAGCATGGAGGAAAGAAATAGATTTCCTCTGCTCTCTCCTACTTCCCAGAGGTGGTTATAGTTCAGTGTTTACCCTTTCAGGCCTTTTTTTTTCCTACACACTTACCAACACATATATGCAACTTGCTTGTATCACTTAATAACATACTGTAAGTATCTGTCCTTTTCATGACACACTCTGAGAAGTTCTTTATTCTTTTTAATAGCTACATTCCATTCTATAGGCATATTTAACCAGTTATCTACCAATGAACATTTAAGATAAATAGCTAGGGGCACCTGGGTGGCTCAGTCAGTTGAGCATCCAACTCTTGATTTTAGCTCAGGTCAGGATCCCAGGGTCGTGGGATTGAGCCCTGCATCGATCTCCATGGTGACAGCATGAAGCCTGCTTGGGATTCATTCTCTCTCTCTCTCTCTCTCTCTCTCTCTCTCTCTCTCTGCCCCTGCCCTGCACTTGTTCTCACTCTCTCTCTCAAATAAATAAAATTTAAGAAAATAAAAGTAAAAAAAATAAAACCACCTAGCGGTAGATGGTACAAAGAAACAAGATTTTTTTATCCATGAAGGGCTCATTATTTCAAAATCCTGAGCTAAAAATTAAACCTTCCCCTTACCAAATTTGTAAAAATCCAAAGTGGCATAAAAATGCAAATCACAGGAGGCATCTGAAAGTCAGCACTTCCAGTCTTCTTACCTCAGAGTCACTTGCTAAGGAGCCTCTGCTGGAACATTTAGATTTCTCATCTTCCTGCTAGACCCACATCCTTCATTCGGCCCCAGTCTCTCCACCTCCCTCTTATGCATGCCACTGCCCTGGCTCGGCCCCCATCACTTCTCATCCAGTACCGTGGTAACGTCCTGGCTGGTCTCCCTGCCTCCAGGCATGCCTCTCTAGTTCATCCTGCAATGGGCAGCCGTGGGATCTTTTGAAAATATAGATCTGATCATGTAACTCCCTGCTTAAAATCCTTCAGGGGCTCCTGTCATACTTGAGAACTGAGTCAAGGCATCTGTGATCCGGCCCCCGAGCAGCTCCACCATTTCCTCCTGTACAATCTGTGCTTCAGATACAACAAGCCGCTTCATTTACTTATCCAGCAAACATCTAATGAGAGGCAACCACGTGTCAAGCACTCATCCAGGCTCTTTAGAGATTACAAGACAGGCAAGTTTCCTGACTTCATAGAGTTTCCACTCTAATGGGAAAGAAACAAAAACAAGCAAGGAAGCACACAGGATGATTTCAGATAGTGATAGGTGCCCCGATGCAAATGAACAGAGCGTAACCGTGAGGGTGCAGGAAGAAGGACCACTTTACAGGGGACATGAGCCAGGGCTCCAAGCCAGTGAGAGCTGAGTTGAATCTGAAGTATGGCCTGCTGAGGGAACAGTGTTCCAGGCAGACAGAGCAGCATATGCAAAGGTGGTAACACAAAAAAGGCTGGCATGTCTGCTAAAGGGAGTGTGCATATACATCATGTGCGCGGGGGCAGGCAGCGGGCAGCGGAAGGGGATGAAGGACATAACCAGAGAAGGAGTTCAGAGACACAGACAGGGCTTAACAGTAAGGACACTGTAACTAGTTTGTAGTGAAAGCCACCGACAGCTTGTAAGCAGGAGTACGACACGATCTAAATTATCGATAAAGCCTTTGAAAAGATCTCCCTGGATGCTGTGTGGAAGGTGCACTGAGGGGCTAGAACGGAACTTAGGAAGCTATTAGAGAACCACACGCAGTTTCCTAGACACAATCTGCTCCTTCAAACCACCAGGGGTTTGGGCTTTCCAGAGCATCCTTCCCCCACTGCCCTACCAAGCCACCTGTCCAGAGTTCAAACATCACCTCCCCTCCCCTAGATCCCCTTAAGATCTATAAAGATCCTCCCTCTTCTGGGGGTGCCTGGGTGGCTCAGTCACTTAAGCACCTGACTTCGGCTCAGGTCGTGATCTCACGATTCATGGGTTCGAGCCCCC